TTCTTTTCCCTTCTACAAACTGCTTATTATCATTTGCCTTTTGTGTATTTGGACTTTTTTTTTTAAAGAAAAACATAAGCCTGTTAATCGTGATGATATACCTGAATGGCAAAATATAAAGATTTTGTGGGTTTTTTTTTTGTCTTTTTGAGACAGGGTCTCGCTATGCAGTTCAGGCTGGCCTTGAGCTCACTTTGTAGCCCAGGCTGGTCTCGAACTTGCAAGGATCCTCCTGCCTAGCCTCCCGAGTACTGGGATTACAGGCATGTGCCACCATGCCCAGCATAAAGGGTTTTTAATAATGCTCAAATCTTAAAAAAAAAAAAAAACACATCACTTTATAAAAGTCATAAAGTAGTTACTTAACAGTAACAGATGTGTAAAAAATAAGATATGCTAAAGAAATGCTAGACTTCTACATTATTATCAGTATGGCCCTCCAATATCAGTCTTAGGTGCCTGTTATTATATTTATAGCATTTAAAATTGGGTAGGTACTATTTATTACAGGCCATTCTCCAATCATGCTAGGGAAATAACTACAGCAGGACTATGAAAGCTACTGATCCCTGCTCCCAGATGTGGCAGAGAGAAAGATTAGTGTAAGTCCTACGTGGGCAGGACCATACTTTTTTCATACACAGTGATACCCGCTGATGCCCAATAAATACATGCTTGAATAAACACAGAGATGAAGAATACACACAGGGGCTACGAATGTCTTTGTATACAGATGGACAAGATGAGGATTGGGTCATCTCTCTGTTGCGGTAAATACACAAGTGAGATGCAGACATATTGACTGCTACCCAGATAAAGTAATTCTGGGGACCTTGGAGTGTTTTTGATGGATCGGCACACCTGTGTTCTCACTTAAGAATTAGAAAATTGAGAGCATTATGGTTTGCTACCCATCAAAGCTTCCCACTCAGAAGAATACAGTTTTAAAAGGAACGCATTTATCCCATCTCGAGTTTTTGGTGTATCTTTTTTCCCCCTAAAGCATAATGAGGTTGTCAGAGTTTCCATGGTGAACACAGGGCACCATGGAAACTGATAGATTTAGCTACACTAAAAGAATAAATAAAATAGGCAAGCATTTATTTCACTGTGCAGTGACAACTTCTCTCCTAGACAGGAGAGGAGATGTGGGCTTCTATTTAACTTGCTTTCCCGTCACTCTGTGCCTCATGAAGGCAGGAATTATTCTCACCGACTGACTACTGAGCTATGCTGATCAGATTGCTGTTCTCCTCAGGCCCGTGGTCTCCACTTTGCTCTCACTTTGGGCTAGAGCTGGGCGTCGTCAGCAGTGTTAGAAACCGTGTATAGTGTGGAAGTCAGAGGTGACTACAGCCCACAGTGCAGGCCCGAGTGGACCCTGGCAGAACTGAGTAGCTAATTCCTTGCCGTCCATCATGGTGAGATGGTGTGTGAGGACAATTTGTGGCCAGAACCAGGTCTGTCCTTCACTAAATAGACAGGCAAGCCAGCTTCCCTGACCTCTGGCTCTTCATCTGTAAAATGGCTAAAATGCATCCTCTTTCAAATGTATAAAATGAGGGGCTGGGGATTTAGCTCAGCGGCACAATGCCTGCCTGGCAAGCGCGAGGTTGTGAGTTCGATTCCTGATACCGGAAAAAAACAAAAACAGAAACAAAAAACAAAACAAAAAAATCAAATGTATAAAATGGTGAGACTCAAAATGAGACACAAGACAAAGCCTACTTAAACAGTCAAGTTCTACCTAGCCGGAGGTTCTAACTGCAGACGTAATTGCATTGCTGAGATGCCCGAAGCATCAAAACTGATCAGTCATCTAGTCCTTTGACTCAGGCATTTAGCAGTTTAAAACATACTGGGCCTGTCCAATTACTGGGCTTTGGGGTGGCACTTGGGTCCATTGAAAGTAGGGAGGATTGTGATCTTGAGAAACAGAGTATTTCACCTTTTCAGTACATTTGGAAATTTTCGTGAGAAAGTGTTGGAGAATTAAATAAAGGACATAAAGCTCTTTTTAAAGTTTTAGTCCCAGTGAGTTACTCATCATTATTAGCATACACCCTGCATATAATGTTAGTTTAATCACTAAAATATAAGCAGAACCATCTTTTGATATTCAGTGTTCTACTCAGAACATCCCACAGATAAGAAAGATTGGGTAGAGGAGATAAACAGAAAGGAAGAGAGAGGGTATGGTTTTCCTGGAGAACACAGTCCGCTAGGAGACAGATGAGGAAAGAAAAAATGACAGCATCCTGAGATCCCCAAGGAAGAAGACTATGAGCATGGGGGCGGGGTGTAAAAGCAGTGGGGTGGCGGAAGTGAGCATCTCAGCTGAAGCTTCTTTCTTTTTTCTTTTGTGGTTCTAGGGATAAAGCCCAGGGCTTTCTCACCAAGCAATATCCTCAACGGTTTTTATTTTGAGACAGAGTCTCACTAATTCACTCAGTTGCCCCTGTTGGGTTTGAGCTTGCCATCCTCCTGCCTCAGCCTTTTGCAGTGAAATCTTCAGCGGTGGGGTGAAGGTGGAAAATGAAGCAGGCATGGTGTTAGATGGTCAAAGGGCACCGCACACCAAGGGAAGGGCATAAGCAAAGCAGATCTATGTGGGGTGGGGGTGGGGTTGCTGGGAGCGAATCTAAGCAAGCAGCCAGGGGCTACCTCAGGACGGTCCTTGACAAGCAGGAAGTCTTTCCTCTAAAGCAAGTGATACCTTGCAGCGCTTGGGCTGTGCTTTGAAGGTGAATATGAAAGCTCAATACTCCTTTCTTCCTGCAGACTGCAGCAGCGTAAGGAACATTTGCCCAGGGATACCAGGATGGGAGTTAAAACTGTAGGAGGACCAGTAATTTAAAGGAGTCTCCAAGTCTGAGGGTTGAGAACCGGGAAGAAGAGTGGAGAAATCAAGACTTGTGACACAGGGCTGAGCCAGGCTGCCTGACCGAGCGGTGCCTGGCTTTCCGGATCCCGAGTCCAGGGTCCACGGCTTGATTGGGAATGGAACTGAACAGTGACGCTGTGCATTATTCAAAGGAGCTAACACTTAGCTTTACATCTTGCTACAGATGCTAATGCAAAATGAGCCGGAGGCCCAGGGCCATTCCTTCTGTTTAAGGAGATGAAAGCTACATAAAATTATTCATTCCGTGAACCACCTGATAACAACATGAATGAACATGAAACCAAAGTTCCCTAGCAATTCCAGTACCTCAGCAGAACAGTACCCTTTGTTTGATGTACCTGCTCAGTTCTGTATGCATACAGCTTTTCGTGATTTTGTCACAGCAGAAATACCATTTTAAAAGCTTAACATCATGTGTATTTCCTGTGTGACTACACAATTACCCTATTTTTAAAAATAACTGCATACGATACATTTTTCTTTTACTTTCAAGATAGGGTCATCTCATGTCGCCCAGGCTGACTTCAAATTTCTGGACTCAAGGGATCCTCCTGCTTCAAAGAGCTGGGACTACAGGTAATTGCCAATGCATCCAGCCTTAAAATACTGTATTCTAAATCACAAAACTACTCACAGTGGTTGGACATTTAGGCTGCTATCAGGAGTTGTATTTTTTAAGGGAACTGATACGTCCTGCTGGAATATTTAATTGAACTCTTTTAGATGAAAAGCAGACACTTCTTTCCCCTTGCTTCCGGAGGTGTATGTGTGTGTACCTACCCTAGAGAGCCAGCTGTGGGGCGCCTGGTTTGCAGATGGAGGAGGTTAACGGGGAGCAGCTGCTGAAACCCTCCCCCGCGCCTCCGAGACACCCGTAAGGACCTCAGCCTCAGGGATTCTTAATCCTGCCTCCACGGTAGAGTAACCGACCTTCTCCACGTGCCTGGCACGGAAGGATTTTCCGACGCTTGAGGCCTGAGGGCTGACAAAAGGAACTATCCCTTCATAAACCAGGATGAGTCGTCCACCTCGACGTGGAGATGAAGGAGCTGGGAGGGGGATGAGTCATTCGGATGAGGCAGCTCTGTGTCATAAGACAGCAATTCAGAGAAAGCCTGTTCCAGCACTACAATGAAACCCTCAAGCTTTAAGTGGGAGTCCAAGTACATATTTATCTCAGGTTGTTGCTCCGCTCACAGAAGAAAACACTCGTTCATCCGCTTACTTGCTCAGTAAATATGTAGGGAACATCAGGCACCGTTCCAGACCTAAGACAGTCCGTGCTCTTGCGGTGCTTCTGTCCCTGTGCTGTGTATGGGGAGGGGTGTGGAACAAATGAAAGGAGGTAAAATAAACAGGATGGAGTAAAAGCTGCAGGGGAAGTTGGGTGTAAGGGCCCCGCTAGCTTGTTGGTCAGGGAAGGTTACCCCGAAGACCTGACACTGGAGACAAACCAGGGATGACAGCAGTTACATCAGGATTCGCTGGAAGCATTAAAGCAGGAGGAGTCAGGTACTGGAAGGTTCTGAGGGAAACCGGTTGGCCCTTCTCCCAGGAGCTGACCGCAGGAGCCTGGGACTGCGTTTCAGGAAGAAATCGGGCGGGCACAACAACCCGCGGAAGCTCCATCTTCTTCACAAGGGAGGAGATCAGCAACCAAGGCCCATGTGCCTTGTCCACAGCCTCTTTTATTTATTTTTTACTAGCGCATATGTGTGATACGTAATAAATACGTCCACTGTGGGGAAGTGGTACATACACATATTGCATCTTGAGCCCTTAAGCTTCCTTCCTGTCCCCTCCCTCCGTCACCCCCACTTCCAAGTCCCTTCGTTCCCCATCCTGCGCCCTGGGCTGCACCCCTGCCCAGCTTTGTGGCTTGGGGAGTGGTCTCCCCGTGTGAGCACGGGCATTCATTTCAGACATGAGAAAAACTGGTACTGGGCTTGTTGGTGGACGGACACAGGAACCTCAACATTGGCTTCAAGGAAGAGAGGAACTCTGTGACCCAGATGAACGCCGTCGCTCTGGACGGCTTCCTGACTTGCGTGCAGAACTTCAGTTGGGGACGAGGACGCACTCTGCGGCCCGCAGAAACCGAAAATGAAACTGGGCGTCCCCGAGGCGGCCTCAAAGCACCTTTCACGTGTCCGTAAACTTGGGCAAGTTCCTTCAGACCCCGGGGCTACAAGTTCGGGAAACAAGTGGCCGTCCGGGTCAGGGGCAGGGACACAGCAGGACGCAAGTCTAGGTGGCCGGTGAGAGGAAGGTAGAGGAGGCGACGCGGGCGGCTCAGAGTTAACGCGCCCAGCGCGCACGCCTGGGTGGGGGTAAACCACACCCCCCCGCGGCGCGCAGCCGGCTCGCGGGAGGAAAATCCTATTGGCATCCTGGAGGCCGGGAGCCACCCCTGGGCGCGGCCTGCAGGGGGCAGGCGATCGGCGGGGAGCGGGGCACAGG